ATAAGGTCAGGTTTCAAATGTTACACATCATTTTTCTTATGTGTCAGGGACAGGTTACAAAAACACTAGCCGCTTTGTATTTGCTATTGTAAACGTGACAACATTCTCTCCTTTTCACTCCCTGTGCAGTATGATAAGGACAACCTGCTGTCAAAAGGACAAACAGCATATACGAATAGCCATGTCAAATGCTGTTGACATATTCTTGTGTTGCTTCTCAATGTTAATTGGTCTTTACTATCGATATTAAAGGTTGCCTTTGGTCGCGGCTGTATCTGCAGTCGTTAGCACCCGCCAATCCGCACTGGGCCCGCGTGGTGGGTCATGGCCCAATCTCCCTATTCCATCCATAGGGAAGGCCTGCGCCCCAGCAGTGGGGACATTCATAGGCTGATGATGAATATTGGATGTTTTCAGTACATTATGTATGAGAACGGCTACGGAGTTCCACACTGCCGCAATAATAACATCGCAATATCGCATCCGATATTATACTTCCGGACACATATCTGCCCTCTTCCTCCTATAAGTTTCAACGAAAAGTGTGTTCGGGCGAGGCGAACGGGAGTTGAGTGGGGGATATAAGCAAGAGAAAGCAGTGCGCGCGAACATTTTCTTTCTCTCTTCCTCTTCTAGCTAATAAATGAAATGTAGATGTACATACATGTATATATTTTACACACATACATATATACAGATGGAGATAAAGAAGTTTCACTTCAGTCGTATGGTCATAAGAACACTCGTTTTTTTAATAAGTTTTAGTTTTTTTTAATAAATATTAGAGCCAGCGCACATGTGGTCGAGCTTTTCCATATACTTTGAATAATATCGGCGCAAACGCAAGCGTTCGAGTGGCCGCCCCTAAGCGATCGGTGGCTGCGTCTAGTGGCTTTACTGAACCACTAGTGGCCGCGTTTAGTGGCTCAATGTGCGCTTGCTCTTAGTGATGACGAGAAAATCAAACAAGCGACTTATTATTGAATTTTAATTTATTCATCGAGTCACTAGGTCATTAGTTAATATTATAAACGCAACACTTATACAATCTTAAGTCTTTGTACAAGGCAATTTTTTATATCAACAATATCCATTGTTTATCGGAAAGCAAACGATTGATGTAGAAATGGAAATAGAGTACGTAGTTTTCGTAGCCGTTTACTTTACAATAATAAAATAAAAAAAAAGAATACAAAAACAAAAAGGACACAACACTGGTTACATAAAATATAAATGCATGAAATAAGATTGTTGCCAGCAAAAAATTGAGCAGTCGCGCGTTGTGATATTTACATTCTGTTAAATAAAAGGACACTGGTGTCAATTCCGACATGATTCTCTAACATAGAGGTATAAGAATAGAGTAGACTCTACTACCAGTGGAAGTGTCACTCTAATAGAAAGAGAAAGAAGATGAGACTGCTAGCCAGAAGGTTTGGAGAGAGCACTCTAAAATCGCGGATGCGCATTGGCAACCGTAAGCATCATACTACTTCAATATGATGCCATTGGATGCCATGCGTCCTAAGAGAGAGAGATAGCTAGCCGTCTCTCATCTTCTTTCTCTTTCTACTAGACGGACACTTTTAGAGCCGCCTTCCCCACTCTATTCTTATACCTTTTTGTTCTCTAAACCTAAAATTAAATTTGACAACAGCATATCCTCGTCATTATCTATACACAATGAAAATGTTAATTCAAGAAGGCCATAGAAGCCAGGACTGGTAAAACCAACCCAAAAAATGAGAGATGTTAAATTTAGTTTTAAATTCGGAGAATCAAGCCGGATTCGACACCAATACCTACTTTTAATGACATTCATAAATTATCTTTACATTATGTTAAAACCTACCTACAGGGTATAAGCACATTATGAAAATTTTCATTTGGAATTATGAATTAGAACTATCGTCGAAAATTTTATGCAACCTATGAGGATCATTTCAATAGCTCAATGTTTTTGCTTACAACTGACATATTTACCCGTCATGTACGTATATTTACTTTCCATCATCTTTTCCATCCATAGTTAAAATTCATTGCAATATTTAAAAACGGCAAATTTCACAAGACAATTTGTTTGATTAACGAAAATTGTTGAGTATTACTATATAAAATCTCGTAAGTACGTATTAAAAAATATTAATAAAAAAATGATCTTGAGCTTTCATGGAGTTTGGGAATGTGCGTAAAACAATTTAGTTAAAACTTCTTTTCGCATCCGCTTGCGATCATTCTTAATTTCTGGAAGGACACAACTTAAAATTACAACGAGTCATAAAATGTGTGATTATTAATGATAATACTTTTTAAATAATGGACGATTAAACAGGTTGCGCAGTCATCTCGCTGCAAAAATAAAACATTTGTTATACATTGCCAGTTTTATATTTTGAGAGATGAATATGCCACACCCCCTTATAACACCAGCTTGTCCCATTGTGATCCCATGTATTTAATTACATTTGTTTCAGTATTTAAAGAATTAATCTGAAATTCAATTACAAAGGTTTCCAATGATCCTATTCTTACATTTAAGACAGTATAATGTAACAATGTTAATAGAATATAAATGATTTTCTAATAAAATAATTGCATTGTTAACGGTTTTCTGTTGTAACTGAGCGAGACTGGTAAAGGATCATAATGGGAAAGCTGATAAGACTACATTTTGGTTCAAACACAATATTAGGTGCTATTAATATAGGTATAGAGTTGCAAATACAAATGAGATTTATGATATCGATAATATTTTTCATTTCAAATAAATTCCTCCCAATTATAAACCACTTTTTATACAACCCTTACTCAATAGTGTTCACAGTATTGCGTAAGGCATTTACTTTTATTCCAATTTTAGAGCCTCCACAGTACAAAGTAACTATCGAATTTTAACAATTATATAGCCAAATAATATAAATGAATTAAGAATTAAGTAAAAAGTGTGTATGTGGGTGAATTAATTTTTTGGGCTATTTTTTTTGTAGACCTTATAAGGTTTAAATGTAATTGCTAAACCAAGATATAAAACAAAATTAAATAAACTATTTCGAAATTTGTACATCTAAAACTCACTTTGATCATTGATGACCACCAGTATTTTGTGAAAGGTAAAACCTTGATGGATATATATTATTTTTAATTTTTATCGAATATAGGCTAAATCGGTATGAATTAAAAACAATTATGGGCCAATAAAATACCATTCATAACTTTATAAGTTAGAATGGTAATGCTATTTTGCCTCTTTTTTCGAGCCAAAATTATAATTGTGTAGTTCTAATGCTGTATTAGATATGGATTGTTTGATTTTCCTCTAATACGCCAACAATCCATTTAACCACCGAATTAATACATATTTTAGGTTATAGGCCATCCTGGACCTTCTAAGTCGCCCCCTGGGGATTGCCACCGGAGGCAAATAGGAATAAACAAAATGAAGTTGGGGCAATGACTTCATTCCCATTTGCCTTCGATGGCGATCCCCGCGGAACGACTGGGAACAAACGTTCAGTTTTTAAATTCCCGTTTGCCAACGGTGGCAATCCCCGCGGGGGCGATTGGGAATATAAGAAAAAATATGATTTTATGACAACAGATGTTTTTGTTTAATAAGCTGTTTGTTAAAACAGCATAATAAAAGCTAAACGAACATCAAATAGAAACTAAAATTCCGCAATTGATTTTAAACCTTAAATCCTAACACTAAGGCTCGTATTACAGAATGACATCTAAGTGTTGATCTTTACTTGAGTACAGTTAGACAGGGATGTCGCTATCTGCTATATATAGCGACATCCCTTTCTAACTATGCTCAAGACTAGATCAATCACTGAGAATCTTTCTATAATACGGGCTTAAGATTGAGGATTGTATGCAAAATTTTGTGATGCAATTGATGTTATTTACGGGTTTGCTACCAAGTAGGTACCTTGTTTATAGCGAGTCTCTGATATCACGCATCAATATTTCTGCAGCGAGGCTGCATATTATTGTAATACATTCATTGGCGTAAGCATTAAATTCATTGGTATCGATTCTGGCATGATTCTCTAAACCTATATTAGACAACAGTGTATCCTTGTCATTCGCTATATAGAATAAAAAGGACAGTCTGATTTTGCGAGAAAAATGAGTGTGAATCCTCATGTTTGTAATTCTTGTTTGTTTTTTTACTAATTGCTGTAAATGGTATTATGTCGTGATAATCTATATATATAAAAATCAATTGCTGTTCGTTAAGTCTCGCTAAAACTCGAGAACGGCTGAACGGATTTATCTTATCTTGGTCTCGAAAAGTTCGTGGAGGTCTAGGAAATGTTTAAAATGTGAGAAAAATTCGACAGATACACCGAAGCGAACAATGGCGGGTCACTAGTTCGAAATAAATAAATAAGTTTTTTCGAATCATGCCAGAATCGACACCATTGTCTATGCTACTTGATACCGACACTTGGCTATTCGAGTTTGTTATTTGTAAACTTGATACCAGTCTGTCCTTTTCCTTCCTTATAAAGCATGACAAGGACAGACTGTTGTCAGTTTACAAATAGCAAAAATAAAACAAGTGCCGGCATAAATTATTAGATAAACTTTTGTAAAGGTTTTAGACGTGTATTGTTTTATTTTGATCATTTTTGCCTATCTCGTCGAGGTTTATTTATATGAGGCAGCAAATGACCCCACTGACGACAGTTGACTGTTTGTACGAATCAAATTTGTACAGAAGATGAACTAATTTATCAGTTTATCTAATTATAAGAAGTTACACAAACTGCCTTCTTAACTCAGGCAATCGAAGTCGTTACCTTATTGCGCTTGTGTGAAATTATTAGTGAAATTATAATTTCATATTATCTTTTATTATTAACAATAAAACGACTCACCAAAATTGTTTACCTTCTGTACGAATTGGATTGAAACAGACTTAGTTACTTGCGTCGGGCCAGTAATAGGGTGTTAATGGACAAACTAATTCGTTGATGGTGTTAGTTAGTTAGTTAGTCAGCCTTCCTGGGCCGTCGTTTGCGGACCTCGCCGGTTCTTTCCTTGTCCTGTTTGGAGTCTCCGGTGTCTTGAGGTTTTTCATTTTCATCTTCGGTTGACTGTAACAATGATACAGAATAAGTGTTAAAATAATTAGTGCTTGATTTAATGGTAATGAATGAAAATGCGAAAACAAAATCTTATTAGGAGCAATAAATGTATTAAAAATCTTTTCCACTCGGTAAGACGTATCTAAAACTCGAGGAAATCAGATGTCTTTAAATATGAAAAAGCGAAAGTTTGTGAGTGTGTATGTTTGTAACTTCTTCACGTCTAAATGGCGTGATTGGAGTGATTTTAATAAAATGTGGTATGGAGTTAGCTGACACCCTAGATTAACACATAGGCTACGTTTTACTGCGGGAAAATATCGGTAACACTGCGGGGCATAGCTAGTTAACTTATATTTATGAAGTTCAAAAAACTGAAATATTCTATTGTGTATTTCAGTAAAAAAACTAAATCAAAAATGATATTTTCAAGTTGCCGCGAAATCGTTTATCTGGACAATATGGCGTCGCACTAGTATGTGACGTCACAAGACTGCCATTAGAACGCCAAACGACACATGTCCCTTTGACCGGAAGTTTACTAGCGTGTGACGTCACGACGTTGCCTACCCTTTCCCAATCCCCTACCCCATGGAGCCCTGGAAACTTACTCACCGACAGAAACACAACAACAACAAAAGTTAGTATTTACTTTTACTGTGATCTACTGCAAGATGGAGGTAACTTCCCCAGACGGGCGCTCTAATTTGAGCGGAAATCAGCTATGACCCAGCTCTCTTTCATTCCTTTTATTTTATTTATTTGAACTTACAGCTATTCATACATAATTTGCTTTAAAAAATTAACTATAAGCCAAAGTCTTCACTTATAAATACGAAGAAATTTTAAAGATTGGAAATTAAAATTTACAAAGTTGAGAAAAATTTTGATAAAAAAGAAAAATGAAATTCAAGGATTCACAAAAAAAATATCAAATTATATTTTATGTCTTTTAGCAGTATAAATTATATTAATGATGCACCCTCGTTGCTCTGTCACCCCAGTAACGTCGATATTAAGCACAGTATACTCACATCGCTCTGGGAGTTCTTCTCAGCGTCGCTGTTGGCCGTGTCGGCATCATCTACGATGTCATCGTTCAATAATTCCTGTTAAAGGGCAATTTATTTGAAAAATCACACTAATATGTTAAAGGCGTTTGTGAAAAGTTTGTGAGTGTGTATGTTTGTTGAGTGTGATGTTCAATATGTCTTTATATATAAATATATTTATATATGTATCAGTAGATGTATTCATTCTATCCGTGACCTAGTATCCCATAACATATGCCTACAGTGCTTACTTTGGGGCTAGGCTAATTGGTGTCTTTACTGACACTAATAAGTTAAAAAAAAAGTATGATTAAGCTGATTGAGGTCCCTAATAGACTTAATGAACTCAGCAACACTCTTCAGAAAGAGCGAAAGCGATGACAACAGACTGAATTTTTATATGAGTGTTGCTCAATCCATTCTATGTCTTTGGGTTAACATAACCTACAACTTCAATTAGGTGGAAACTTTTGTTTCCAATACAAACTTCTATCCTTTCGACCCCATTATAAGATGATTTGTGATAAAAAACTCATTGTAATCAATTTCATCTAAATCGGTTCAGTTGTTAAGCAAGAATAGGTGACAGAGTAAGATAAGACAACCTCCGTGGCCGAGTGGTTTGTACGCCGGGTTTCATGGTGTCGCCGACTCGAGAGATCCCGGGTTTGAATCCTGGTGGGGGCAGATGTTTGTGTGATGAATACGAGCATTTGTACTCCAGTCATGGATGTTTAATATGTATTTCTATATAAATATGCTTATATATGTACAGTATATGTATTCTATCCGTTACCCTAGTATCCCATAACACAAGCCTTACATTGCTTTCTTTGGGGCTAGGCTAATTGGTGTCTAACACTCAGAAATATTTATTTATTTATATTTAAGATAATTAATATGGATGGAAACCCATGTTTCGCTCAGAGGTTTTAAATTTTATACCCACATCTAATATATAATATATACACACATACATCTATATACAGAGTTAATTTTAAAACACCAACCACCCCTTAGGGGGTGATTCTACCCATCAACAGGAACAACTTTTATTATGGGACTAACTCTGAGATCGCGAAAAAAAATCAGCTGTTCATACATTTCGGTCGATTAGCTGATGCACTTTTATATGAAATAGATTTTTTTTTGCGATTTCAGCATTGGTCCCGTAATAAAAGTTGTTCCTGTTGATGGGTAGAATCACCCCTAAGAGGTTGTTGGTGTTTTAAAATTACCCTGTATATATTTTTATAAATAAAAACTGCTAGATGTTTAAATGTAAAGGTGCGGCTTCGAGTCCTGTCTGCTGCTTGGCCTTCATGGATTTTTTCTAGTAAAATTTCTTTAGACCCACATGTAATCAATGAAATATAAATTTTCGACACAAGTTTTTTAATTTCCCATTATTAGCACTAGTTCTTACCTGGTCTTCTTCCGCTTTCTTCCCTTGCTGGTCACCTTTCGCCATCTTGTCCACTTCTGCCTGACTCACTAGCACTTTATCGGTGCGTCTTGGAGGATATAGAAGGTCTATGATGCATACCAATATCTGTGGAATATACACAAACAAACATATAGAAAAACTATCTTTTCTCAAACATGATTGGAAAGGTGTGTATTTAATATAATAGTTTGAAATATGTAGATGATAAATATATGTAAATTTCTGACATTTTAATTCAATAAAGATGCAATTTTTCTTGACTATATTAATAATGAATAGATTTATAGTATTATCTTTTGTGACATTGCATATGATTATTACCTTTAAATTAATTTTATTTATTTAGACGTCACTGGACCTTATTAATGTAAATTTCCTGAAATATTTGCACATTGACATTCAAACGCTGGAAACTAAAGAAATAAGTAACAACTATTGTAACCATATTTTGGCAAATAAATTATTATTATTACAAGGAGATGGCTAAGAAACTGCTTAACGTGTATAATGATTTTGCAGTAGCCCAAATCATTACAATATAATTTTATTAATTTTAACGTGTTTATTATTCTCATACAACTTTCGTGAAATAATCAAATTATGAAAGTATAAAAATTGACTTCTAAAGATTCCAAGAAAAAGCGAAATTGATGGCTCTGTAAATAATTGGCACAATGGTAACAATGGTAATTTTCAAAATTGTGACTTTATCAATAGTTCCTCAGGCCTTTTTCATAGAAATTATAAATATTCAGCCATTTAGCATTAAATGTTACCCAAAGTACAATATTTATACATTGCTAGGGCAATCTATCATACAAAAATTTTACCATGACCTTTAAACATTATTTTGACAACCTTCTTCGAGATAAATCGAAATTGCTGTACTGACCACATACATGAAAGTAGCGGTCATAAATAGTTTTATGAAAATCCATATTTCTGTCGTTTTTAGCGACCAAATAGAAAAATACTCAAATGAACACTTTAGATGCTTGCAGTACCAAAAATATCACATGGCCCGTTGACTACCCTGACTTAATCACCTACCCCGTAGAGCCCTGGAACCTTACTCACCGACTTGGTTTGCCTATTAACTATCTCTTCCGCGAAAATTAGATAAATGTAAAAAAAAAATTACCCATGGAGTAATAAGTAGTTATACTAGGCTTCTTTGTTTTGCTTGTAAATGCCTATTGAATATCTACACTAGACGTCTTTAGTGGTAATACAATATAGTTCATTTTTGACGGCTTCTTGTTTCTTTGCAAGTTATCAAACAAAGACAGACATAGGAGCATAGAATGAGTAAAAAAATATTTTATGTATGAAAATCATTTCTTTAGTGATACAAATCAAGGAGGAATCAATCTAGAACGTTTGTATGGACAAAACATTGCTCGTCTCCCCACTCAATCAAAAGTCAAAATATCTTTATTCAAATTGTATGCAAAATACAACTCTTTTGAATCGTCCATATTTTTCCCCCTACCACCAGTTAAGGACATTTTTTTAGCTGTGGAGAAAAACTGGCGAAATAACTTTAACAATGACTCACCAAACCAAGCAACGCGCCGACGAATATGGTTACGATAGCGAATATGAGGTACGAGCCCCACGTGGGCAGGCCGTATGTCTCCATCAATGTGTTGTGGACGCTCTGAAACAAACAAAACGTATTTTAAAGAAAATATAACTAGAAAAAATTCCACGCGGACCAGGTAGCAGACGGGACTCGAACCGAATCCGGGCGAATGCACTGACCAATTATGCTACCGCGGCCCTCGTCGAAATTCTTCTAGCCATTCTTCACAAGCAAGGCAGCGCCATCTCTTCGCATTATAGGTAACCCACAATGCCAAATGAATACTTTTACAAGTATTAAACATTTGAAAGAAGAAATAGCAATTATATTTGCTATAAAATATTATAAAACATATTTTAATAAAAACTAGTCCATAAATGAAATTAAAAAATAAATTGAAGTGAAATTTCTTTTCGAGTGGGGTGTAAACGGAAAAATCCTATGGAAAAGATAAAACGGAAATGCGTTACAAACGTATAATATATATAGTGTGTGTGGTATGGTATGCGTGCGCAGGTCTTCCCGACGAGTATGAAAGTTAAGTAACAAGTAAGTATGAAAGAGGGTAACTCGGCGAAGGCTGACACGCTACGAGCGTCATCACACGCACCAATATATATACATAAATGAGTGATGTGAGCGCTGCTCCATTCCCCTATGCCTTATTCACCGCCTAATGTTAGGTTGTTTAAGAAAAGAAGTTTCACTTCAGATGTGTGGTCCGTGAACACAATTTTTTTGCCCTTCATCCTTTCTCTTTCCTTCCCCAGATATTAGAGAACGCGGTTTGCCGCGTCGGTGTCGGTGTGCTACATACGTAAAATTCAAATTATATTCAAATATCGGACGTAAAATGAAACTAGCTCTTTTCATACAAAATTTGACGATGACGATACGTTACTTTGGGGGCTGTCAAAAACTCATGCTTGGGCCTCTGTGGTTTTGCGTGTTATAGTAACAAGCATACAACCACAAAAACCCACCAACTTTCACATTTTTAATTTTAAGTGGGATCATAAACAGATAGAGCGAGATGCAACATACGCGATGATAGATTACTGCTGTTTCGCTACATTAATAAAGTCGTAAAACCTTTATATTGTAAGTGATTTTACCACTCACATCATGGAGGCCGTTAAAGGACTTCCGAAAGGTCCAGGATCAATTAAAAATATACGAGCAAAAATTTCTGTCGCTATCACTGTTCGCCTTTGCGATACTGAAAACAGTGCGAAATCAGCGAAATCTCGGTAACGATAGAACGGTATTGGATGCTTTAATTTCCTGGAATAAATTATATTAAGAGGAAAAGTTTGTTAATTGTGACGTTTAGGGAGTAATCTCTGGATCTAATGAACAGATTTTGAAAATTCTTTTACCAATAGAAAGCGACATTATTTGTAAGTGTCATAGGCTTCATGTTAAAACAAAAACTAAAGTCAATACCCAAATGAAGCGAACGTGGGCCACTAGGTAACTATAAATTAATTTCAAGATACCAGAAGCAAAAAAAAGGTTTTATAAATAAATCTTTAGTTATATTTACCCTGAGCACTTGGCTGAGCTTAAAGAACTCTGCAACCAGAGTCATTTGCAGCGAGTCCGGGGCCTTCCAACCGGGGATGGGCTCCGTTTGTTTCCATCGCTGCTGCTCCACGAAGCCGAGCATGGAAGCCACATCGCGGGGCCCCTTGTACTGACGGAACTCGCCGTCCTTAACGCTGTAATAAGGAGGGTTTTTGGTTGAGTTTGGAATGGAAACCAGACTGCAGAGTATAAAAAGACCAAATTGAAGTAATAAATGACTGTCTCAAAATAGCACTTTGGTTTAGTAGAAGGAAACTGTGGAAGTCACGTCACAGGGGCCCTTGTACGGGGGAACTCCCCGTCTTTGTCGCTGTAGCTATAAGTAGGGTTATTGGTTGAGTTTGGAATGGAAACCAGACTGCAGAGTAAGAAAAGATAAAAGAAAATCGAAGAAATAAATGAATTTTCTCAATTTTTTAGGAATAATCATTTCTTTCATTTTATTTTCGTACTCTGCTTTCTTTCCTTTGCTTTTGGGCAAGTAAACTATAAATATATTTTTTGTATTTGTGTCACTAGATCTAGTTCAGAATTCTTGTTTAATGCTGTTGTTTTACTGAGCACCAGCCGGGGAAACATGTTTTTATTTGTCAAGCAAAAAATGCCTGATAACAATTTAAGGTATAGTGACATTTGTGACTTTGATTCTTGCCCTGTCTTTAAACTGTTAATAATAATAATCATTTAACCAAACATTTTACATTTTAAGTATTAAGCTAATAAAGTCTACGGCTAAAAAATCTCAAGAAATGGAACCCTAACCCAGAAACTAGTAAAAACTGTAATTATCAGGGTTACTGATTCCTCGGTATAATGTGGTTATATTTTTTTAAACCCTTTCTCTATAGCGAAGGGAACTAAGAAAGCAGCAAAATTATGTTAAATGGCATTTGTATTAACAGTCAAAAGCATAATGATAACCTTATAAAAGACCCGTCTTACTGGAATATAGTAGGTAGTGCGGTGACGACGAATCTCCCGCTGAGCCCTGGGGACTTGGTGACGTCGACGGCGGCCGCCTTCACGCCCAGGGACTTGCGCGACGCCTGTTGAGACATCTCGCGCCACGCGGGGGCCAGAGCATTGCAGGCCGGGCACCATGGCGCGTAGCTGCACGGATATAAAATAATTAATTGGGATTTTTTTATATTAAAAGGGTGGCAAATAAGCTTTTGTGCCGCCTGATGGTAAGTAGGGAATGCAGTCTCGCTCTCGCGAGAGCTCAGCCTATTTTAGCAAGATTAATCTCGGCCGAAAAGAGGACGAGTTTAACGAGATTGCACTCAATCATAAAAAAAATCTTATTCAAAACCAGACTGGCATGGACGGATTTGATTGGTATTTTTGTTAATTAATCTGTATTATTTAATGGATCTAATGAATAGATATAGTTTTATTTAATTGATATTAATATGTCAGTTTATTGTCAACTCAACTTACTCACTTTTTTACCAATTTATTCAAATATAGTGATTATTTGCAAAAATAAAAACACAAAACTGCCAATCTCACAAGCTCTCCCTGTTTTGTTATTCATAAACTCGCAAGATCTTGCTTGGGCCCAGATCTCGCAAGATTTGCATTCCCTAATGATAAGCGGCCATCATAGTCTATAGACATTTACAATACCAAAAATATCACTCATACCATTGCCTGTCCGACCCAATATCCTACCATATGGAACCCTGGAATCATACTCACTGACAGATACGTAACAACACCAAAAGGACAACTATGTATTATAAAGAATAAAGATTGTAATGTTTGTTTGTAACGAAGAAACTCTGAAACTATTATGTTGATTTAAAAGAAATCTGTACTATTAGAAAGAATATTGCTGAGTGACAGGCTATATTTTACTGTGTTAAAGTACATGTCGTCCATGCAAAACCAGAGTAGATCACTAATTAGCATATAGACTTAAGAGTAGTTAAATTAATTTAAGCCGTAAGTGGTAAATAAGTAGAGATAAATCAAATGACACAACTAAATAAAGTATAAAATAAAAAAAAGGTAATCGCATGAAAACACACTAATAAAAAAATCTCATTATCTAGCCCAGTATTAAGTAAATAATGTTTGTATTAAGAATACTATAACGTTTATGACCATGACTCAGAAACAAATATTTAGCTTATCTATTATTGGAGCAGGCAGGATTGAAAACATTACACATACCAGTCATTATTATATACAGTCTTCTTATATGATTCATTTGTACATTGTAAGATCTCAATGAACTCATAAGTGGCAAATTTTTTTAAGGTATTGCTACCTTTGTAGCATTTTTTACTTTCACTTTGAATGATAATGTACCATTGTGCTGAATCTATACTAATATTTTAAAGCTGAAGAGTTTGTTTGGTTGAACGCACTAATCTCATAAACTACTGGTTTCATTATAATTGTTAGTGTTGAGTTAGAGAGTGCATTTATAGAAGAAGGCTATTATAACATCATGCTACGACCAATAGGAGCAGAGCATTGATGAAAAATTACACAAAAATGGAGATAAAATAATCAATTGAAAAGTTACACAAAAACCATGTATGACGGGCATGTTCCCCTATAACAGTTCTATAAGAGGCATAAAGTCTATCTTTTAAAGGTGACCTGGTATAACCTTTTTCCTCATATTAATGCAGGTGAATCCACTTTAAACCTCTAGTAAAAAAAAAACTGTAAAGGTTAGTAAGTACCAATTCATAGTTTTAACTTTAAACTTATCAAATTGACAGTTTCATTGTAATGTTTATTTACTCATTGGAAAGTCACCTCTATCAGGGGCAAAGATATACAAGTTATTGTGTAAGCAAATGACTTTCATTTCAATTCACCTATGATGTCATTGTAGCAACATTGTTCATGCACACGGACCATTTCATTAATATGCAATATGTGGGAAGGCAAATTATGCAAAGAAAGAATATGTAAACCTTAATATTTGATTTCACAAGACTATGATGTATCATAGAGCAAATAAATTAGTTAAGGAATGAATGAATTATACAAATATTCCTGTAACTACTGAAACACAAGATGCAAATTAGCTTTGTTATTATCAAAATTAAAGTTTTATTGAGACTTCTAACATGACTGATGTATTGTCATAGCTATAAAAATGAATCAACAGGCTGACTGGTAAGAGAAGTCATCATTAGCAGTTTTTTTTACTTGAAATCTCATTTATTTTTAGAATCACAGATCACTTCTACTGGACTTATAAAGGGTACATTTGGTTTGTTTCTCTTCAGTAACGTTAAGAAATGGGAAAAGTCGAGCTAAGGAGACAATAGATGAATGCGTCACGGATTTTGAAACGGTTCTTAGACCCTCAACGACCTTGTATAGGTTTGTTGAACCCTGTGAAATGTGAATTACACACCCATAAGATTTCTGTGTGAATTATGATTTCTGTACAAAAATACAAAATATGTGATATTTACCTTCGTATAACTTATTATGATACTACATTCAGAATTGTAGCCACAAATAAGAATTTTGACACGTTTTTCATTACGGATACCGGCTAACAAAAATTACTCACAATTCGACCATCCATTCGCCCTCAAGAATATCTCTCCAATTATCTTCATTTAATTCACGATTGGTAGTTACTAAACTTGTAAAACAACATAAAATAACTGTGGAAAAAAGGAATAAATGCAAAAATTTTGGAGCTGTATGTAGCCGCGCCATGTTTGACTATGTTGCTGAGTTGCCAGTACGTACAGCAGTGAAATTATCTAATATTGTTTTAGTAGTTTCTTGAAGTTTTATAGTTTAAAAAAAGTTTCTATCTTTACAGAAATCTAATTTCTTGGCAGTGCATTCCAAATGGACAATGTATTAATACTCAATATATATTGCAACCATAATGTATACAAATATGTTATTATCAAATAATAAAAGTACATTTATGGACCCTGGTGGATATCGCAAATTTAGGAGAAAAGAAGAGGTGGAAGCTTTTCTCAAAAAAATATTATAAATGTACATGCAGGTTATTTTTTTTGATTGTATTTAGGTATTAAATTTTAATTAATCATTAATATATTCTTGTATACTATAAAATTTTTTTTATAATAAATTAGTTTATTAATTAGAGCTGTGACGAATATTCGGCAACTATTCGGTATTCAGTAGAATAGTTTGCAATATTCGGCCGAAAACCGAATAACGAATCATAAAAAAATAAACTCAAAATATTACTTACACAGTTATTAATTAAATACCAACAATTTGACATATTAATATTTAAAATCTACCTGTAGTAAACTATGATGAATGAAATATTTTTCAGTATTGTCGACAACAGACCAATCGTCTGATTTTTCCTTCGAATATCTATTAAACTTTTATAGATACTCAAAGGATTTTCCACATAAATTATAACTGCTTCCGATATACCCTGCTACCGGGCGATGATAAATAAATCTCAGCAAGTGTGAAAGTGTTGGATATTGTTTTGCGTTTGCTGACTACCACTTGTAATGAAACAAAACTGCCTTCGCCTACGTACGACTTGAGCGATGCAACTCAAAACTTGTAAGTGACGATTTGTGGCTTTTCACCCGCGGAAAGTACTAGGTGTTGCGGTATTCGACCAAATAACTATTCACTGCAACTCTCTTTTATACCATATAAACCTGTGTAATTTGTATGTTTATAGAATGGCTGTAGTAGCAGCTGTAAATTAAATAAAAAATATTTTATCATATAAAACATACATCTTGCCTACAAAATTAAAAAGATAATTTTATAACATAACGAAAAGTATGCATTTATAAATTAATAAAAATATCACATATACTAGCTAATTACTACTAATTAGTGGTGAGTTGTTTGTACTGGCAGCACTTATTTTTTTTTAAGTAGTAGCGAAGACTTTATGTAAATCTTACAGCCAAAGATGATACTGTAAAAGAGATGCATTTGTTTGTAAATAATTCAATTCAGATTGTCATATAAACATCATTGTCAGAAATGCAATAAAAATGTAGTTCACAAAACACAATTAAAATTTTAAACAAAAGTTCAGTTTTAGTGTGTTCCCAAAATTACAGATGTCACTACGTCCATCATCTGTTGTTATTGGTTGATGTAGTCCCCGTAGCATGAGCATCACAATTTTCATTATTTATGTAGCACGTTTTTTGATGTGTAACATCTTTCCTCTCGCTTTCCTGCAATTTGTGGGAGTGATTTCGTGAAATGAGACGGTAGTGTGTAACAGGAAGTCGCGAAAACGCGCGGTATTTTATTTGATTTTTGAGCATAATGTTCAAATGGCTTATGCCTTTTGTAGTAGGTTTTATTACTTTATTTAATTTTACAAATATAAGGTGAGGTTTGAAATGTTACACTATACGCGACTACTGTAAGTTCTGTAAGGCTCGCTCGTATTTTTTTTATCGCGTATTTGAAAATGGAGCGCGATAAAAACGTGTTATATATATATATGTATATATATATATATCACGGTGCTCATGCCAGTGGGGGCAGGGATGGATAAACATTTTCCTTATCGTGCCAATATCTACAGTCATCAGCAGTCATTTTACCTATCAGAACCTATGGCGGGTTCAAAACCTTCACATTGTTGAGCTTTTTTATTTGATATATAACACATACATATGGATGCAAGCACTACCTTCAGCCAATATCGGGACTTTGCTTGACAAGAGCACTCTGTCTCTGGAAATTCGCTTCGACTTGGTGTCAAGACGAATCATCCCCATCGTTGTCGTTGCGGTACTCGCGTCGGTGAGATGGATCACCATGGTATCTCATGCCAAATGAGCGCTGGTCGAGTCTCCCACCACGCTTGCATCAATGACGTCATCCGCAGAGCTCTTGTCGCAGTCAACGGTCCTTGAGCCTAGCGGCATCTTTCGTGACGATGGCAAGAGACCTGACGGAATGACGCTCATTCCGTGGAAACAGGCCGCACGCCGCAACTTGTGTGGGACGCAACTTGCGCGGATACGCTCGCTCGGTGCCATACAGTCAGCACCAGTGTTGCCAACTCTACGTCTTTTTACGTAGATCTACGTATTTTAGGCCTTTTCTGCAAACCTACTAACTTCAGTCCCAAAATCTACGTATTTTCTTTTAATTTGTACAAATTTGCAAAATAACATAACTCACTAGAATAGGGAAGCATATTTTCCGTTACTTATAATCTATACAAATGTTTATTTCTTATAGTTTTTGGTACGAGGAACTTAAATACATCGATTTCACTTCATAAGAAGATGGCTGTAGTAATCTAAATTGAAAAAATATGTTTAGTCTATATTTTTAAACACTGAAGATGCTGTCCGTCATGATTGTGACGTCACAAAATTTGTAAACAACTAAACGTCATTGTTGTATTACTATGGTTTCTTTCATCGGACTAAAATATATCTAAAGACTGTTATATCTTGTAGAAGAGTTTCCATTTATTGGTTTTGTTGACTTAATTAATGCTGCACGCCGAATTTGTAAAAGCAGAAACGACAAAGCTCTCTTACTTAGTAGGCACATTAATAAACTTAAAAAAAATATTTTTAAACTTAAAATATTATTGAATCAGTACTTACACCGAAGTGATCTTTGCACAAAGAAATGACTTTCAGTCGATAAAGTTACAGGATTTAGCAAGTTTTAAACATGTGTTCATTTGTAGATATGTTTATTTCTCTAGGCAATTTAAACCACAACTTTTCTGGAGTCTGTAACGTTGTGATTCTACATTCTCGCATAATACAATCATGATAATTACTACAATACATTTTTTTCAGTCTAATATAACAATTATTAACCATTAAAAACATATTTTCAAAAAGTGTCAACTACCCTATTTGATAACAGTGTATTCTTGTCCTTCTTTATACAGAATGAAAAGGAGAGACTGATGTTAAATTTAGTGCTAAGTTTAGAGAATTATGCCAAAATTGACACCTAGCAGCGTCTGTGTCTGATGGTAAATGTCTACCACAGCATGGTAAATGCCGCCAATGTAGCATCTTCTCCAAGAATTCTATGTTCTATCTCCTTTATTTAAATAAATTGTATAACAAAATACTCGTCTTAACGTTTTTCTCTCAGAAAAAAATACGTAGATCTACGAACTTTTCATATGCAAATTTTACTAATTCTACGTAATTTTGTCATCGGGCCTACGCCTTTTTCAAAATCCGAGTTGGCAACACTGGTCAGCACCTTCCTTGCTGCGGGTGCGGCGGTGGTCTCTGCTAAGTGCTCCAAACGGCGCAAATATTCAGCTCTCAATGAGAACTATATATTTGCGCCATTTGGTGTTGAGACCATGGGCCCATGGGGTCCAAGTGCTCGTTCCTTAATTAAGGAATTATCAAAAGACTTACCGAAGCGACTGTTGACCAAAAGGCTGGCTGCTATCTTGGTCAACGGATCAGCCTTGCCATTCAACGTGGCAATGCGGCCAGCCTATTGGGCACCATTCCTGACGGCGGCGCTAGGGGTGACTTATTTTTCATTTTGTAAATTAGATATTATTTATAAGTAGGTTAAGGTAATTTGTATTTATATTTTATACATTAGGTAGTTTTTAAGTTGTTGTTTCTGTATTTGTATATGTTGTAATTCTGTAAATAAAATTTAAATGTCACACACACATATTTTAGCAATTCAATAAGTTCCGAAAATGGGGGGGGGGGGGGGATTTTTTTAAGTTATTTATTTACTTTATACTTTACTTTAATGTGTTAAAAAATAAGTTATTTTGCTTAAGAATTTCTTTCTCTAAAAAGTTAGTCATGGAAGTCTTAGGGACCGTCCATTATTCACGAGATGATTTTTTTTGCATTTTTAACTCTCTACTCCCCTACAAAAGGTTGCAGGTTGTTTTTGACTGACATAAAAATGATGAAAGGAATGCAAAAAACTTTTTGTACTAATACATGAACATTAGTATCCTCGGACCACGAAAATACACATGATATATTAGTACACTCCCCCCCCCCCCCCTTGTGATATTTCTTGATTTTTGTGAACCCCCTCTCCCCTTTCGAGCCCCACGTGATTAATTGACAGCCCCTTGGCAACACGCATATTTACGCAAACTGCAAGTTTTATAAATTGATATTATCGCGATGAAATATTCAGTTCAAAAAATTAGCTTTAGTCACAAATAAATCAAATTGGCTATTATCAACAAAAGAATAAAAGTATTAAAAATCAGTCAACAGTTCAAATAAGTTCATATTGCTTAAACTTTTCTGTTGAGTATATTAATTAACTAAAAACACTGGACATATGTATTTCGAACTTGTCTCATATCCCTATTTATTTCTGATGAAAACGTAATATTACGCTTTTAAAATGTAGTTTCAATTTTTTTTTTATTTTTTATGTATTTACTTGCCAAATGTTTAAATCTAGGTAGTTTAAAAATGTTTGGTGTGGTGTGAGCAGTTTGCTAGATATCAAGGTTGTCGCCTACTCAAAGGACCCGGGTTCGAATCCCGAAGGGGAAAATGTTTACGAAAAAGAGTATTTGCACCCAAAATCCATGGATGATTACAATTATATGTTTATGCTTTTGCTTAGGCGTTGTCCTAATTAGCAAAGCACATACGACAATGACACGATGCGATCTTGTCGAGCGATGAGTTCGAACATAAAGATTTCATCAGAAGTGTTCTAATTGTAGCTCGTAAATCATCGCCCGA